CCCCCATAATTAATCAAATAAGCTCAACAAAGTCAACTCACCTGATCTTCTCTCCAAAAACGAAGAAAGGAAAGGGAAAAGCCTGATCGAAATTACTGCAGTTAACCGAAGTCTTGTGAACCAAAGCAGCTTTCGACTCTGTCGTGAGAACCTTCCTCTTCTCCTTATGATAACAAACATTAGGATAAAGTCCCATGCAAAGTAAAGCTGTAATGGTATCCAGCCTGACGTCAGCTCCAGCCTGATAATTCAATGGAGTTGGACAGAGTGTTTCCTCCGGGAATCCAGCGGCCTTCAGGAGCCCCTGCAGCTGATTCTTGGCCTCCCAAGTGACCCTCAATGTCGGCATACTGAGGCCCTTGGTATCGCAGAAAGTTTGCTCAGCATATTCACCCCCATCTCGTGCCTCCTCCCAAGCTTGGAATGCATGAAGCATGGCGACATGATCACTGTACCTAGCCCCAGCGAACCACTTCTGCTGCATCGACAGTCGTCTCATGTCTGGCCCCATGTTGTACACCTCCGGGAATGTCGTGCTGTTGGCAGCCATTGTTGACAAAGCATCACCAACTCTGAACATGCAGCCCAGAATCATCATTTTCCCCAGTCTAGGCTCGATAGGCAGTCTCGCGAGGATCTTCCCCAAGGGCGTCAGCTCATCGCTCTTGTCCAAGCACTTCATCTCCCTCAGCAAGACCTCCGCCTCGATGACAGCGTCGATGGGTGGAGGCTCAATGGCTTTAGACAAGAACTTGCTGATGTTCCCCAGTCTCAGTAACTTGATGCTCAATGCCAGCTCGTGCAGAGGTGTTCTGAAGATCTCCGGCGTCATGTGCTGATCCATCCGATCAAATCTTGCTTTAGAGCACAGGTGAAAGCAAAACCCTGGACGAACCCTCCCAGCTCGTCCCATCCTCTGCTCCAAATTAGTTTTGCTCGCCCAGACAGTCGCATAGTTTGTCATATTGTTGTGGGAAGTAAAGAGCTTCATCTTCGCCTTGCAGGAGTCGATGACGTAGACAATGTCGTTGATTGTGATGGAGGTCTCTGCGATGTTCGTGGAGAGGATCACCTTGGTGACGTCGTGGGGAACAGAATCGAAGACCTTTCGTTGATCCTCTCTGGGTAGCTGGGAGTGGAGAGGGAGGATCAGGTACTGGGATCCACCGAAGAGGGGATGCTGCTGCAGGTGCTTCATCAGGGCGAAGATTATGTTCCATCCGGGGAGGAATATCAGGACAGCCCCTGGGATCCCTTGTTTTCGGATGTACTCCAGGAGGGACTCCATCAACTCGAAGCAGATCTCCTTCTCGGAGAGCTGAGCCATTGCGTTTCTCGTGGATTCCGGGTAGCTGTTGATCATGACCTAGCAGAGAAAATAGGGCGGTTTTTACATGAGTACACGGAGAAGAGAAATTGTTTTTGTTAAGTATTCATTTACTTCAGAGAAGCATTTATTTTTTCAAAATTATATTTCTTCAATTGAGTCATTTGCAAGCCTGACTAGGTTTCAATTATGACAATCAGCTCGCTCTAGAGAATGACTATGTTATGTTATTTGGATAATGTTTAGATAATGTGAAATGGGTTTCAGTTGCCATTCAGCTTCACATAACCCTGGAGTCAAAAAAACGTTGAAAAAAAATTTTCAAACAGCGTTTTTGAATAATATTGGAAAATCAACCCAACAGAGAGGAAATGGCAAATTAATAATTTATGTGTCTCATTTGTCTCAATAGTCAATGCCTGTGAGATCGTTACTTGCCACGATAAATTACCCATTTACAATTTCCTGTCATACTTATTTCCCAATCTTTATTAAAAATGCTATAAACAAACTCTATTCTGACGATTTATTTGGCTGACAGGGGTTCCTGCAACCAACCCAGAATAAAATAAAATTAAGTTCCCACCTTATTAAGGTTCTCCTCAGGCTCATTATCCAGATCCTCGGAGTCTCGATTCTTCCTTTTTTTCGTGTCCAGCGGGGGCACGAAGTTGGTGAGCTGAATGCAGTCCTCGAGGAAATAACGTTGAACCGGAAAAGCTCGTCCCGGAATTTCGATGACCGGGCATTTGTTGAAGTAGTCACTGAAGAGAGTTGTGTCAATCGTAGCAGACATGAGGATAACCCGTAGGTCCGGGTAAACGTGTATCATGTCTCGAAGCAGGACCATTATGAAATCGGAATTGACATCTCTCTCGTGAATTTCATCGACAATCACATGAGAGACACCTCGAAGTCCCTGCTCCAGCTTTCTCAGCAGCACTCCAACAGTGCAGAACATGATGCTGCCATAGGGACGAGGTAAACAGGACTCGAATCTCACGGAATAACCGACAGATTGTCCGAGCTGTTCGCAACGCTCAACAGCCACTCGATCAGAGACTGAGACAGCCGATATCCTCCGGGGCTGGGTCACAACGATGCTCGCGTAGCCACCCTGGCCAGAGGCGATGTAATCGTCCAGGATGAACTGACAGACCTGAGTCGTCTTTCCACACCCCGTGTTACCCCTGATGATGATGACAGGGTTTTCGTTAATCGCGTTCATTATCTCGTTCCTCATGTTGAAGACTGGGAGCTTCTCCCTCTCTCGAATGCTCTGCTGGAGCTGTTTGTCAGCTTGCAGACGCTCACGTCGCTCCTCCATCATGTCGGTGGAGAGCTTGTCCAGGGATATTGTTGCTAGTGGACCTTCGTCGATGTTGCAACCCAACCAGGGATTCCAATTCTGCTGGGGTGGCGACCAGCTGACCACTCCTGCTGCCTGGGGAATCGAGGATATAAAGTCCTCGAGAACACGGTCTGTCAGAAGGGAAATGCCGGCGGCGGTAGGAGGTGTGGGGTCTTCTGGGTTTTCACTGGTTGGCTGGAAATAAAGGACCTTTTTAGGGATTTATTTTCACGGAAAATGTCATGGATTATTATCATAATGTCACAGTTTTTCTGTGGACAATTAAATTCCCTCGGAAAAAAGATAATTTGACATTTTATTTTTTATCCTCAGGTTGATCGATTCGAGGTGATCAGTTCATTGAAGATTCAATTTCTTTTTCAATTTTTGATGAGGATTTCCAAGTAGTTTGGCTATTTTTTTCAGTCAAATGCAGTTTCCGGATATTTTACAATGATTTTATTATTCAAACTTTGCAGGTCTGGATTTTAAAATATCAGAACAAATTATGAAGTTTAGTTTTGAATGAAGATTCATCAAATAATTAAAAAATTGCCATTTTTTAGTATTTTCGGGTATTTTCTGTAAATAATGTATAAACAAATTTATAAATAATTTATAAATTCCTCCAAAAATGTCTCTAGATAAATCTCAATAAACTTCGACACAAATGAACAGATGAGGAAAAATGAAGATGACACTTACTTGAGGTTTGCTGTTGACATCAATAGGAGTAATCTCGAGGGCTGCAAGCACATCTTGTATCTGCTCCTCAAGTTCGGGTGAAATTTTTACGGGATAGGGCTTCAACTGTTCTGCATCCCTATTCTTCTTCAAAGTTCCGGAGAATGCCTCAATCACCCCGAGGTGATACAATTGACGAACCAGTGACAAAGCACAGCTCTTGGAAGCTGTCTGCTTGTTGGATCCAGTCTCACGTCCGGTGACATCTACAGCACGCGTCAATATCATTAAACAAATTCATAAGACTCAAGTAAATAGCCCAGAGAAAAATGTTCTAATTTTCAGTAAAAAAAACATTTAAATTGACAAAAAATCCTCGAAACGAATTTTGAGTAAATTTTGCCCAAAAATCGAAGAAAAAAGTGATTCTTAGTCTTTTTCATTTAGATCTAGTATAATTGTGATGAAATTAAGACAGATTTTCTGTTATTTTTAGGAAATCTTGATGCTGAAATCTCTTGAGGCAAATACTTCGTTGTTGTTGAAAGTAGAGCAATTATTCATGTTAATTTTCAACTAATGATTTTGTTGGCACAAACAAGACTTATGAAAACTCAGGGGCCTAAAACTCCAGAACCCTTACTCCATAGCTGCGTTCCTGGCCTCAACGACGCCAGAACACCTCAAGATAATCAACGATTTTATCCAAAAATGTAAAATTCCAATTTAGAGCGTAAAACCGAGACATGAAGTATCAAATTTTTAACAAAATTACATGTAACTATCGCTGTAAATAATCCTGAAGGATTAATACATTCAATAAATTGAAAAAAAACACGACTTATTTGAGAACTTGTTCGTTTTTCTCTCAGTGAAGTTATCTGAATTTCACATAAATTAATAATTGTTGAAAATTTCAACAGATTTCACCTGAAATTTCAGAAATGATTGTCTAACACTGTAACACCTCACCGATTCCTCGATCAAAACTGTCATCAAAATCACTTCGTCATTCAATACAAGACGTTAATCAAACTTACTTCTCCCCAGCTGCTTGATGTAGATCGTCATCTCCGCCATGAAGCTCCTACCCAACAAAAACCTCACATTAGTCCGCATCCCCACCCCCCAAACTTCGATAAAACAAAACCCCCCCCAAAAAAAAACAAAACTAATTTATAAAAAATTCATCATTAATGAACTCACCATCATAGACTCATCACTGAGTGTCCAGAAGACGCCTTTGGAGCACACAAATCATATTCATGGGATCGAGCCATCGCCAGAACCAACATTGACGTGAATAACATCAATGAAAGTTTTGATTGTTTCAAACATTCTCTCATCATTTTATGTATACTCCAAAGATGTCTTCAGGTGTTTATTCAGGTGTAAAAGAAATATATATACGAAAATTCAGTGATGGCCAACCACGTGATTGAGGCATACCTTGTGTGATCAGGACCCACTGGGGTGTATTTATAATCCCCATTAATCTTATTTGTTTGCATAAATTGATGTAATTTTGATTTTGCATTTTCGATGGTCCAATTGCCATGAATTCCCGAGTTAACGTCGCAATCTTCGGCCTCGGCGACATTCGCCTGCTCGGCGAGTCTGTCCATGTAGGTGTAGTTGGTCTGTCCACGCTGGTTGTAGGGCTTGTAGGCTTGGCCGATGTCATTTGGACCCATTCCGTCCTGGAAGACGGGTTTGCTGGTGGACTGGCTCATCGCCTGGGACTGGTTGTCCGCTGCTGTTGCTGGGGGTTGATTCGTGGGGGCCAGGTCCCCTGGTACATCACTGGCGTTGACGTTACCCGTGCGGACGAGGTAGTTGATGAAGTCCCGGGATGCATTGCCCTGGGCATCTTTCTTGTTCGTGGAGTTGCCCGCTCCGACGTAGTCGAAACCGTTGATCCGGAGCTCGCAGAGGAAACGCTGGCGATGCTTCGGACCTGGAGAATAGGGAACTTGCGTGAAGCTCAATTCTTTCTAATTCCCCTATTCACTCATTTACTTATACATTTACCCGTACCAATATTAAACTACTTTTCTTACCCCACCACTTTTTTTTTTCTATTTCATTGGTTTTATCGGAGTAATTCTCCATTTGAGACCCCTCCTCTAGCCTGCCTCCCCTCCTTTCTTTTTCCTCTCATTGTTATCTGCGGTATCATGGCCATCTTACTCTTAGCTGTGCCCCATTCGAGCTAGACTGCACGGGAAACCACGTAAAACCCCGTCGCACAGCCGATTTGTGCAGTGCCCTAATATATCCGTCACACTGACTAGAAGGAGACACTAGACCGCTACACCGTACCTACCGCCCGCAATTTTTGTCCGAGCGAGGTGTTCCTAAGCGGTCACCCATCCAAGTACTAACCCAGCTCATCGCCACTTAGCCTGGATGTCCGCCGGAGCAACACCTCACCCACCTAACCATTACAGTCGGTTCCCCACCACTTGTGGGGTGATAATTTACTACTCGATCATGCAAAATGAGACAGTAAGCAGCGGTATCTGTGGGAGTACTTATTCTCATTTCAATTTTTTTTCAACTGAGAGATGAAGATATTCCCTTCACTTTGATAGAAATTTCAATCCACCAACCCATGTTCATTATTTAGAAATGAAATCAAAATGCACCAAATGCATGCGCTAACGTGCGCTTATATGGGATAGAATCATTCAAATATTTCCTCTTTTTGCTCGGGTACCCCAGAGTTTTCTCTGGCCATTGGATTCAGTACGATTTTACACATTATCTTATATTTTTAGTCTTGTAGTAGGTTAATTATCAAGTTGAACATAAATTTCATAAGAGCCGGTGTATGAGGAAAAATTAGTTTATTCATTTCTGCCGAGACTATTGCGATTAATTTTTTTTAACGTTAGAAAAGTTAGTTTTGTATGTTCTGCTGTCAATCGAAAAAATTACAGAATTTTCCTTGACGCACAGTAAAGTGGGTTCAGATGGTCTTTCCAGGCGAAATCAGTAGCGAAGCGGTAAACCGGGTTAAGTCGATTTTGACTTTTGGGCATTTTTTGACAAATATCTCGGAATCTAAGAGAGATAGCAAAATTTTGCTCATCACCTTTTTTATAACCCTCAGTTGGCTCTACAAAAAAGGTCATGACAAAAATTTTTCTATCTCTTTTAGATTCCCAGACATTCGTCAAAAACTGGCCAATAGTCAAAATCGACTTAACCCGGTTTACCGCTTCGCTACTGAAATGTACCGCAAAGAGTAGGAAAAAGTACTGTTGCACGAGTCATTTTTCAGATAAATGCGGGGAAAAATTCTTGTGCCACCCCGTAAAATCGAAGCGACAGGGAATTTTTACGAGAAATACGAGAAAAATTCAGTAGTGAAGCGGTAAACCGAGTTAAGTCGATTTGGACTATTAGCCAGTTTTTGCTGAATATCTCGGCATCTAAGAGAGATAGCAAAATTTTTCTCATGACTTTTTTTATAACGCCTCTATTGGCTCTACAAAAAAGGTCATGACAAAAATCTTTCTATCTCTTTTAGATTCCGAGATATTCGTCAAAAACTAGCCAATAGTAAAACACGACTTGACCCGGTTTACCGCTTCGCTACTGAATTATGACACTGGCTGGCAAATTTTTCTGGTGCTCTACCAGAATCCTAGGACCCGATCGCGCATTCGTAAGATTTCGACACTCTTCGTCCCCCCACCGCAGCCGCGAACATCAACTCAACGTGACCAGATGATTTATTCCGTCGCCTCCTCTAGCCTCTTCTCACACATATCTCCTTACTGAAACCCCAGGTTAATGTTTTTCATAATATCAATTCAGTGAAATATTAATTAGTGTTGTGATAAAACGGTTAAGAAATAAAATAAGTGCCCTTTATTTTCGCTTCATGAGGTGTATAACGCTGTAGATATACATTGGCCTGTCAAACGTTCCACATACGTTTGCCGCGCATTCCGCTTTTAATATGGGAGAGAGGATATGGAGGAGAGGTTAAAATAAAATTAATAGGATGATATGCTGAATGACAATGTTTACTCATTTTTAACTATTGAATGAAATTTATCATGNAGTGAAATATTAATTAGTGTTGTGATAAAACGGTTAAGAAATAAAATAAGTTCCCTTTATTTTCTGTTCATGAGGTGTATAACGCTGCAGAGATACATTGGCCTGTCAAACGTTCCACATACGTTTGGCGCCCATTCCGCTTGTAATATGGGGAGAGAGGATATGGAGGAGAGGCTAAAATAAAATTAATAGGATAATATGCTGAATGACAAATTTACTCATTTTTAACTATTGAATGTAATTTATCATGTAATAGAAAACAGTCAGGGATCAAGTTTTATTGTGCGGTACCTGAATTTTTACTATGCAACACCGGAATTTTTCTGGTGCTGGACAATTGAACCCACTTTACCAGACGGCGCGGTAATTTTTGCTTGAATTTCTCCTGAAAAATTCTGGAATTTTTTTCTCCGTATACCGACACTGGCTTTAGCCACGGTTAGTGTTCATCCTTAATTTGATGGGAATTTTCTTACCCCATTTTTTCAGTAAATTTTTCTTGTAAACTAATATTGAGATTTATCCTGGTGTCCCTCCCACCTACTTCAAACTTCTATCCAAAAATAGAGGAGGTTGGGGTAAAATGGACGCTTGAATTTTTTTTAAATGGTAGTGACGGATTGAAATGTTGATGAAATTTAATAATTTTTTTTTCAATACAAAATACAATTCTTTCCCTTTGTGATGAGCCTAAACTGAGCTCTATTGACACATTTGTTTCTGAGTTATGAATAATTTTAAAAAAGTCTAAAGTGTCCATTTTACCCTACCCTCCCCTAAATGCACATTCTGAATTTCATAGTATAATTTCAATTATTTATTGCTAAGCAACGGCTGTTTTAAAAAACAATAATTCCATGCAAAATCTAACTTGAATGNTGTGAAAAATCTCCATAATTCATGAGAAATAATGGAGATGGAATTTTTTAGTTATTTTTCAGGTCATCCTGGGGAAAATGGTACGGCAAACATGTTAAATCGTGGCGCCAAAGGAATCGTAATCATGCCGATTATTTCGGTAATGAGTGATTTTTTGAAAAGAAAAAAAAAAGTGTTCCCTGGTCTAAATTTTCCTCCAACTGGAAATCTCGAAATATTTCCCCCCAACCCCAATCCTCCTCCCGCTAGTCACCCAATTACCAACAAAAAAGTACCTCAAACCCAACAATTGGACTGCAAACTCAATATTCTAAGGTTAACAACAGAAAATTGATGCGCTTACCCGTCGGCCTGACATCAAACAACGGCTCTTTTGCATTTTTCGCACACCACTGGTGCAGAAACGACTTAAGGTCCCCCATTTATCGTGTATCGACCCTTTCTAGTCCACAAATTCGTACAAATTTTCAGACGCCAAGGATTGATAGAAAACGATGGCTTCTCCAAGACCGTGGCGTTCCCTGTAGATATATATGTAATACATATATTAAGCGCTGTTGCCACACTCAAAAATTAGCCGAACTCACCCTCCTCAGGGAGTTTTGCGGATGATGCACAAACTAATGGCGCCACAGGGCCAAGTAATTTCTAATGGAGCAGCAGGCAAAGAGGATAGACTAAAGTAGAGGCTCTACCTATGGTCTTTGGCATTAAGGTATGATATCTTTGCTACAAACTCGGGTCTTCAACTCAGGCTTTCAATTGAAGGCCCNCGCCTTTTTTTCAGGGGTGATTTTTCAAAAATTTATTTTAAAAAAAAGTACTA